AAATGTCCTTAGCTGGGAAAGGTTGTCTCAATGATGTGACCCTGTGATGGACTTGCGATGTGTCCAATGCATCTCCATGACCGCCTGTGATAGGCACCATCTCCCCTCTCAAGCTGGAAAGGAAAAAGCGAGTAAAGAAAATAGGTGGTCCGATGAAAAACCATTACTTATCCTCATCTGATACGGATGTTTCTCTGGACCTTTTTCAGGATTTCATCAATATCTTCACCAAGGACAGCAGAGCTATTTCTGTCTGATCGACTCAGACAGAAACGGCTCAATTATACTTTATTAAAACATCATAAACAGTTAGGTGTTACAAACAGCAATTCTTAGAAAACGTCTGACTCTGCTGATTATCAAGAGTTTTGCAGACTGGTAACTTCTTTCAATACATCAATTTTGCCTCATGTAGATTGAAATATAATCTTTATCTTCCACTTTCCAAACAAAGTTCTTTCAATGGCTTTCCTCATTAAAGTTTATCTGTTTGAACATTGAATGTCTCGTCTTTGCAATGTAATCAATTGAATACAGGTTGAAAAGAATTAGCAAATCTTGTTTTATTTAGGTTTTGCACAACGTCCCAATGTCAATAAACTTGGGGTTGTAAGATCATCTAATGTTGAGAAATGACAGTAAGAGCCGTTTTGGTCAAAATGAAAAATATTATATGCAGTCATGCGCAATTTTGCTAAACGTGTTAACGCTTAGTTCTTGTTTTGCGAATGACTCTCAGCTACTACCATGTCAAACATTTTAGATCAATATCTGTAAATTGATAGAATTATAGCCAGTTTCACGTAGGCTAGATTTGATTAGCTGAGATGCCAACTTCACCGGGATGACTCCAAAACACAAGTGGTTATGTGAGAGTTTAATAAAACCTGTTCAGTGTTCATGCGGGTCACAGGTCCTCCAGCAGTCACCATTCGAGGAGCGGGGGACACCCTGGACAAGACCATCTCAGAGACATAGACACAAACAACCACTCAGACTCTCACCTATAGAGGTAGCATTTATTAAGGCTGACCTGCATTGAAAAAACTGGCATTGCGATTTTTTTTCTAACCCTGAGATAAACTATATATTGTGATGTGAAAAAATACAGGAATTTTAAACAAATGACTTGAATGACACTTTATGTTATACTGCCATCTTGTTGACGATGAACCTGCCAATCCTACCTCGTGTTATGCGTGTTACAAGAATGTTTTTTATCTGTATTTGAGTTATTCTTATATTTTATTGTGCTGAAACCTCAGTACATGTGTCCTTCTATCATGTGCAAACATGAATTGCATTTTACCAACTAACACGTTGCCTCTATCTTAGTTTCTGTTTCCATCACGGTTCTACATTAGCATTCATTCTAACTATATTTTACCTATTTTCCTCCAGTTCTCTGCGAATATGCTCATGTTCTTCATTTTTGTCAAGACCCTCACTGTCTCTCGAGTTCACAGACAACACTTTTCTGACAAACGTTGCCATCGTCGTCCCAGAATTCTCCCAACAACATGAAAGTTTTAGGATATTTAACACAAAACCACACGCTTCTGAAGGTGGAAGCAACCTGTCAAAATAAAAGCTGCTGCACGCAACCATTGAGTGCAATTACGTTTGGTTTAGTGGTTTAATCCATAGATGGCACACTGATTTAATTTACCTACATTGCAGGGTCTGCGATGTAACTATTGCACACAGATACATTGCAATGACAATGAACAAACAATATATTGTGCAGCTCTACCAATTACCCTAGCATGTGTGTTTTTGGTCTGAAGGAAACCAGAGTAGGAAAACCCACAAAGGAAGACCCCCGGCCCAAACCGGGGACTTGAACTCAGGAACTTCTTGCTGTGAGGCAACAATGCTAACTGACTACTAAGCTGTCATGCTGCTTGTTATCAATAATTACAATAAAATAAAAAAATAATAACAAAATAAAACCCCAACTGTGAGATTGTTCTCATGCTTTAATTATGTTTATGTGTTAAAAACCTTTGAATGATGCTTAGAATGGGACAGAAAGATCTATAATTATGATAATAATGGAGATGAAAAAGAAGCTACTGGAAGTTAATTCCTTTATAGCATTAAACCAGCAATCATAGCGTTTAAATACTTTCGGGTCATTTCACTCAGTGTGGGATCTTCCTAAGAAAAGATGTTAGGACCGGACCCTGTGTCTGTTCTGGAGAGGAGAAACTGCAGCTGCAAACATTGTTCAAAATTGTGGTTTTCAGTTTGCTTGGTTGAAGCCCTGCGGAAAAGCACGTAGAGCATGCAAGGACAGAAAAAATGTGTTGTGCAGAAAACTTTGGACAGCACTGTTGTTTATTTACTTTTTGACATTTATGTAAGGTGTTTGAGTCCTCTGAAAAGTATCGCTCATGGCAAATAATAAACACTTGTGGGTCCCTCGCCATTAGTGTGACATCCTGCAGCTCAGAGTTGTGACGGAAGATTCCTGCAGTTTTTAAAGACAAGTGCTGATTTATATCTGATGTTGATGTAATTAGTTTCTGTTAGATTTATTATAACGTTTCTTTATCAGAATAAGGCTGAAGAGAGTTTGGATCACTTTTTGAAAAAATGTGCATTCGATGATTTTAGCAATAAAATTTTGGATAAAATAAGAGTCCTTTTGAACATAGCAAGTGAGTGAATACTGCAGTTTAATGGCAAACAAGATGCAATATTGTATTCTGTGAATTTCTTTTAATGTTTTTTATCAAGTATATAAAATTTATTATGGTACAAAGCGATCTGCGAGATTGACATTTCTTTAACCTGCTTGCAGACTGGCAACTTTTGTGTACTAACTAATACGG